GGTTACCAACCAATCATCATCGTCCATAAAATACAGCAGTTATTGCATACTTCGTATGCAATAACTATATAGTATTACTTATTACTTTTTTTAAAAGTAGTAGCAGACACCCGTATCATCTATTATTGAAACTAAATATGTATATTCAAGACCGACGCTTTTCTAATATCGTATACATAATTTATTTAGTTTGTATGAAACTTTACGACGAAGATTATTCTTGTCACCAGCAGACTTCATAGAAATGTAAAAAGTTCTGAATATAGGTTAGACTTCAATAATAAATGTGTTTTTTAAAAAAATAGCAAAAGTTCTTAAACACATAAATTTGCTTGAGAATTCAACCTACTAAAAGTTCAAGTATTTTAGTTATTACTCGAAGTAGCAAGCTTTCTAAATTTTATTTCAATTATATGGCAATGGAATATGCATTAAAATATCATATATACTGTATATATTTTATGCATTGTGGCGATAATACCGAAGTGAATTCAGCCGTCGGTCAATTTTTATGTTATTCCAGAATTTAAGAGAATAGCTCATGAAAATGGATAACTGATAACGATGATACACCACGAAAATTTCACGATTAACCAATAGGAAATCACTGATGTAACGTAAAAAAAATTTGCATAACAGCCTTTTGCCTATATCGATATGTGATATTAATACCCTATCGCTATACAAGTGCTAATCTTATGTAACCAACTTTAAAAAATTTTTTGATTACACATAAGCGTGAAATATTCATGTCGATACTGGGAATCTGATAAAAATTTATAGTCGATTGTCAGCTGATAGTAATCGACCGACTACAAATCGATTAATCGACTGTTTATAAAAAATTTGGTCGATTACGATTAGTCAACTAATAATCGATTAGTCGATTAATAATTCTATGATTCCTATCCTTGGCATCTTTAAACTGATAAGTATCAGTATCGATTTGCTATTTAGAGTTGTTACTCGATTATTGATACTGCATAGATAGAGATCGATAGTTATCGATAGAACTGATATAAATTATCGTTAATCAATTTTGATTTATTATAAATCGACTATTAACACCACCATTGATTATAATTAATTAGCTATTTATAATCGACTATAAAGATGTTACCAGGGAAGACATATTCACCTACTTCTTGGACTAGTATTCATACGTCAGCTCTATTATACAAACACTATATAGGTTAACAAAAAATCCTCTACTGGTGACTAAAGTAGCTAGAGTGGATCTGTAGAAAATAGTTTTCACTTACATGACATGAATTAGATATTAATCGTTAATCTCCGTTATCTTGATAGCGACTGAGTGGTTATTTTATATAGTTACCTTTTCTTTGATTACAAATCACTAAAAACGAAATTAGCTAAGCAAGCATAACAATAATTTAACCTACTTTTCTTTAATTGAAAATATAGACTATTTAACACATTTTATATAATCAAATTTGTTCTAAACGACCATCTTTTTTCCAGCACAGCATTTCAGAATTCTAAAATTCTGAAATATCAAATAAACACTATATATTAGTCGCTTATCTACTTTTATTTTTATTATTACCTTGTTTTTATTGGTCACCCAAATTATCATAAATAACCTAACGATCTAATGATTTACACTAAACATCATCAATGCATAACTTGTTAAATATTTTTGGGCTCGGTAGATGGATTTACCGAAAAAGAATTTACTTAAAAAATAAATTTAGTAAATTCTTTTACCGAAAGTTTATTTCGAAACGTAAAAATATATATTTTTTTGTAGATAACTAATATTTTATTGTAACATTTTTAGCAAATCAAATCAACTCATCATTATTAGTTTAAGGTTATCCTTGAAATGTACAAAACTACTATAGTAATATATTATATCAACTTTATATCATAACATCCGATAAATTTTGCTATTTTCGAGTGAAAGTTTCATCTGATAATCTTCTGAAAAACGGGAGGACCTAAGAATAACCAATATCTTTAATCAATATTTATAAATATTTATAAATATTTATAAATGTTTATAACATTTGATATTTACATGATTTGTCCGATCACTTGGCTACGTACTAAAAAAAAAGGTGATTATCACCAAATTCTTTTCTCCCACGTTTGAGCATCTCATCTCATTCACTATGAATCATGTCTATGAATCATATCATCATCAACCCATCATTAAAAACATCGAATATGGAGAAGAGCGTTCGATCAGGCATGTAACTCTATGAGAAATATTCATCTTCTTAATTCCTATTCCAACGGTTAACTTCTTAACGACTGACATAACAACAATAACGTACTTAGCGAATTATATTGACCGCATCGTTTTCGTTATCGCTAAATACTTTTTTTTTTTTTTTTTTTTAATTTAGATTGCATTCTACGTATTCGTATTTAATTTATACTAATTATACTAATGTGCAGATACCTGAAAAATGAATTTATAATTACCATAAATGGACTGATTAAATGCCAAACACTTCTTAATTCATAAAATTTTGGGGGCAGGATTTATAGTTAGGATTTCTAACCTTCAATAGAATATCATAGTTCACCTAAATTATTATAAAACCTGTAATTTAATGAAATACATAACGATAATTTAACGAAATTATTTTAATATTCATATAATCTGGTTATAAATAAAATCTTATCTAAAATCGGGTAAGTTTTAACTAACTGAACTAATCGTAATTGAAATAAATTAAAAACATACGATTAATAATTTACACGGCTTTAGATTTAGCAATGTTACCCAAAGCTATTTTAGATACCTGATACGTGTCTGTGGATTTACGTATATACGTACGTACGTACATGACAAAAGTTCTATAGTCACATGATCTTGGCAATTTATATAATCGCTATATATTTATTAATTTGTTAGTTAATTACACGTATAACCAAAAATAATTCATTATACATTATGGGTAAATGCATATTCTGAAATGGAAAATGTAGTGTTGTAAGCCGATTAGAGGCTAGTCGGCTTAGTCGACTTAGCCGACCCCTGATCGACTAAGTCAACTAATTCGACTTAGTCGACAAACTAAAAATTTATTGGTCGAAGTTCGACTATTGTCTTTTTAAGATTTTTATTGGGCAGCTTTGCTTATTGTTTAGTATCGAAAAAAAGAAGTTCTAGCCGGTCGAGTAACAATATCCTGAATTTGCCCCTTAATGGCTTAGTCGACTAAGCTGACGACTTAGTCGATGACTCAGTCAGTCGACTGTTAGTCGATCGGCTAACAACACTAGGAAAATGATCAAAATGAGACAAATCAAATGCAAGAAAAGGAGCACGAGATCACGAAATATATGATGAAATATACGTAGCTATTGTCTTGTGACCAATCGGTTTCAAATTTCAAATAATATGTCGCACTCATTACCTCCGCTTATGCATCAACAATATAATACCCTTTTAACAATGTAATATTAAGAGTATTCTAATTTAAATTATATATTACACACTTGAGTGACTAAACTAGCCAATTACGCTTCTTTATCTCTTACATCTTCCCCAGAAAAGTCCCTAAAATAATGTTTTATTTTGGATATTGTTATATTCTTTAAAAAAAAAATTTTTTTTATATAAAAAAGATGCGAATAGCCAAAAATGAGTTTTCTTAATAACTTTATTTTGAATTCTATAACGATAAATTTTAACGATCTACTTTTAACGATACTTTTTTAAACTGTACACACTCTTTATAAGATCTATACTCTCAAATTTATCTTCATCTTCCATCTTCGATTTATCCATTCTACACTAACTTTACCCCTCCCCCCTCTTACTATCATGGTCCCCTCTCTCGCCTTAAATGCTATTTTGATATCTTCTTCTCTTTTACTCACAACCTTTCTTTTACAATCAAAGAAAGGTCATTTACGCTCAAAACGTGAAAAGTCTTGGATATTAACTGCAACTGCAACTTCAGTTGTAAGCTTAGGAGGTATACCTTTTCTCTATCAAGCATTAAGATCAAAATGGGAATGGATCGAAAAATTTATGCCAAAAGAAAATGTTTTGAGCATAATGATATTATGGATTTTCTTAACTGAAGTAATAACTTTAGTTTCTCTAACTCCAAGTTCTAAAACTTCTCTTGTTACAACTACTGAATCATCTAATAATTCCGAAAATCCTTCACTAAAACAATTTTCAAATTTTCAAAATTTTGCTATTACTACTATAACTTATCTTGCTGCAAGAATTTTTTTTCATAGTTTATTAATTTATTTTTATTATCATTATCGCCTTACTTTAAATAATTATTCTGATAATGGAAATAAAAATACATTAACAACAACATCATCATCATCATCATCAACGACAAGATCGAATTCTCAAAAAGGGTGCGATTATTCAACTGCTAGTTTATTTTCTGTAATTTACGCTTTACAATGTTGGTGGTCACGTCAATTTATTAAGCAACAATTGAATTTAAGAAATCAATTTAAAAAATCAAAAATTCTTCAAAGCATTTTATATAGTCATGATGAATTGGAAAAAGTATTGGATGATTTACAACAAAATCCTATAAGGAAGAATTTTGAACCTAGGGATGGTGAGAATTCTTCATATATGATACGAAAAAAAAGTAACCGACAAAGAATGTTTCAATTACAACCTAATATACCTACTATCTTTGAGGAAGATGAGTCTGAAATGCAATTTGATTATGTATCTAATGAAATTACGAATTCGGAATATGGTTATTTAACAACTATAATTGAGGAAGATGAAGATGAATCAGGTGATAGTGGATATAATAGTAGTAATGAAAAATTTTCTGATCCTTATGATGAACAATTCTTTAATGTTAATGGATTGGATTATTCTTCAATTAAACAATCTCCTCAGATCCTTACAACTTTGTAAAAGATAGTTGTTTTTTTATTTTTTTTTAAAAAAAAAGTTCAATTTAATGAATGTAGTTTTTGGCTAATTTTTTGTATTTAGTTACATATTCTTCATTTCTTGGGCATGAACTTTTTGTATATATTCGAGGGAAATTTTTTTTTTTTGTTTTTAGTTTATTTTAATGATTTAATAATTTTTTTCAATACTTTAATGTAATTAGGGTTACATTTTCATGTGTAATAAAAATACGTACCATAATTAAATGTTTCTCCTGAAATTAAAATGGCTCACTCGGCTTTAATTTAATCAAAATCTCAATGTTTTCTTTTTACATCAATTTACGTGCATACATGCGTATCTACGTATGTACGTACATAGTGCATAGCCAATGTTTATACAAACTCCATTGTTAGCAGAGTTAGGTAACTGGTAATTACAACGTACGTACATACGTACATGTGGCGTACGTATACTCATGACTTATAATTATGCGAAAAAATCGTCTCCACACATATTAAAATAGAATCAATTTATGAAAATTGCATGGCCAAAGAAATTAGATTTTCCTTAGT